TCAGCCTCACGAACACGTTCCTCCAGTTCAGCCTCCTGAGAGCATGCAGCCTCCTCCTTGCTCTTGGCCGCAGCAATACGGCGACGGGCGTTCTCCTCAGCCTCGTCAGCAGCTTTTGCCCGTTCCTCAGCTTCGCGAACACGCTCCTTTAGTTCTGTTTCTAGGGAACGCGCAGCTTCTATCTTGATTTTGTTGTTACTATCGTGTCGTCGTGCAGCTTCTTCGGCAGCCGCAGCTCGCTGGTTGGCTTCACTAACACGCCATTCTGCTTCTGCTACCCGCCCCTCAGCCATAGCTACACGTTCTTGTAACTCTTCCTCAAGACGTTGGGCAATTTCCATTTTTTTCTGTGCTTCATTAACACGCTGTTGTATAGCCTCTTCAGTGGCTTGTGCATATTCTTTGGCCTTGTTCACACGTTCTTCAGCTTCTAGCAGACGTACCTTATTCTCATTCACTCGTTTTTTTATGTTTTCTTTCTGGTACAATGGAGATTGTTTGTGGCTCTGTGTAATGTGAGTTATATTACAGGTGTGTGTGGGTAAATATTGGTTATCTGAGCTACTCTTGGTAGAGTACCAATTAATATTCGACTTGGAGAGAAGTATACTATCGTCTTGTTCCTCCGTTTTTATCTCAAAGCAAATTTGTTTTTTGTTTTGCATGTATGGTGGGAGATGTACTTTAGGTAACTGTAAATGGCGATGATATTCACTTTCTTTACGACAACCATACATACAGCTACGGTATATCTCCTGATGTTGTTCCGGTTCGTCGCAAATACATGTAATAAGGGTTACGCTATTCACTACTTCTGTCGGGAGAAGGTGACTTATCAACCAGCAAGGTCTATCACATGACAAAGGGTGTCCGGCAAGGAGGTCTCGCAGCGTGTGCATATCTAGTTGAATCTTTTGATCGCCCTGGTATAGGTGAGGAAGCAACGCAATTGTGAAGATCCCGGAACTATTTGTATTCGTATACTGGTTAAAAAGAGTCACTATAATGGACCCTTCGGTTTGATTAAGTAATGCCTCTTCCAAGCAATTATTCAAAACTGGATCATCGGAGCTGGTCACAACGTTGTGTTTGATGTGGTGTTGGTACGAAATACTGGAGTCCTCTGCGATTACTCCTGTCGAGCTGTTTGACACAACCCGCTGACTTAAAAGGTCTGTCAAACCCCACGAATAAACACGTACTATACTGTACTGTAGCTGTACAGGTAAAGCGTCGTTTGTAGCGTTGATCACCTCAAAAGCGTGACTGACGGCCGTGAGCACCAACGTGTGAAAGAGCTCCATGGTGTGTGCAGTAGAGGAGCCGTGAATGATGGCACTGTGCATAGATACCGGCGGTGAGTCACACAAGTACGCACGGTCGCTTCCAAAGCTCTCCGCCACACGGTGCCCCAGCACGGCCTCGTACAGCGTGGTGTGAAACGGGTAGTACGTCACACTGTCAAAACGAAACCGCGAGGTGCCCGCAATGTCGTCGCGCAAAACTACATCACCAGTTTCCGGGTCGATCTGAATGCTGCTTATGTTGTCATTTATGTCGCCACTGTTCAAACGCGCAGGAGCAATGTGGGAACAGTAAACAACGTTTCTTATTTCTTGTTTCATTGTGAAACTCTAAGATTAAATATGAAAAAGTAAATTGGGGTGTTTTATAAATTTTTTGTGACAGTTTCCGATATTAAAAAAAAAAGCGTTGCAGTAAAAAGTGTGGGAAACCATTTTAGTATTCGTTGTATGTACTATGTAGCGCTGTTTATGTATTTGTAACGCAACAGCACATTTAAAGAAGATACAGAAATAAGAAATCATTTTCTATTAAGGAAAGGAGAACGATTTATGTAGACAGTGGAAGAAGAGAGAACGGTAACGTTTTCAGGAAAGGTGATGAGTTTCGGTAGTTTGGTACTTGGTACGTAATCTGATTGGGCAACGCCACGGTTTGGGGGTAATGACAGTTCACCGTAGTCGAGTAAAATACATGGTTTACTTCTAGATCGTAGTCTTGAATACAATAATGAATTTGGAGACTTTATGATGATGCTATTATCAGGGGTAGTATTGTTGTTGTTGTTGTTGTTACTTTTGTTCTTGTTGTTCATAGACATAAAGGTAGATCCAGTTGTTGAGGACGATAATGGTTTTTGTGGTTTATATTTCCTATTTTGGTAGTATAAAGAATTACCCTCAGTCGGATTTTTGTTACTCTCAAAGTTGTCACGAAATGGGGACTTACGCAAGCACGGTGGTGGTGTGAACAGATCATTCCCATGCTTCGTTGACACATCACTCTTCAACGACGATTCTACCAAACCCAAGTTATGTGGTGCGTCTTCTGTTGCTGTTTGTGTTGATGCTGAGAGAAAACATCTACGCATAAGGAACTGTATCCACTTGACATAGTAGAGCCGGTATGTTCGCTGCTTTACAGTACGTTTCAGGTGAAAATATGCATTAAGCAATGCTGCAGAGGAATGGCGAATAGTAAGAGCTCTCGCTGTTGCCGCTGTTTCGTTTAAAGGTTCTTTTTCCTCTACTGAAACAATACTAGAAATCTCCTCTACGGAGTCGTGCAAAAAGTGTTTATCAAAGTGATCTGTCCCATCAGCACTACTACTTCTACCGTCATGGTTCAAAGCCGGTAACGTACTACTAAATATTTCATGAATGAGTGGAGTATCAGTACAAATACCACTAGTATCTTTTTGTACCATGTTGTCATCAAGACGCAAATACACAATGCAAGGTTCTGTCTCCCTAGTAGGAGAGACAGCAACTTTATTATGTTGTTGCGGAAGGATAAGTGTCTCTTGTAGTTCAAAATCAATCTCCTGAATATCATCAGAGGACGCCAGAGAGTCAATAGGAGTCATTTCGCTGGCTGTGCTCTCCATATCACTACTGCTACTGTTACTATCATATAAATGGTGAGATGACGTTACCGCAAGACCATCCATTGTTCTTACGTATTTTCAACTTGAACAAAAACAAAAAGAACAGGAACAACAGCGGCAGTAACAAATAACAATAATAATAATAATAATAATAATAATAATAATAATAATAATAATAATAATAATAATAAAAGCAAAACAAATACATTAGAAAATTGGCAACAATATAAATTTATACACGTATTCTATTCTCTTCAAGAAAAAGATAAAGTTAATGAAAAACATTAACCTTTGGCGTCACAAAATGATAAAGAAATAAAAACGAACTCCTTGGTTTCATTCGTTTACTTTAAGGTTTGTAGTCTACAAGTCACAATGGAGATACTTCATTCTATAAGGAGGATTAACATGGTCGTTGTGATTTGATATAATTTCTTCTATATCCGTCGTTCGTTGAGAATCTTCCTCTAATAATGTCGGGGTCGAATTACGAGAAGTACTAGATAAGTGGCTGTGAATACTCTCCATCTCCTGTATGTTATAATTAACAGGTGTAGATGGACGCGCAAAATCCACTGACAACCAATCTGTTTCGGGCAAATTTCCGTCAACTGCAATCGAGCTATCCTGCTCCACCGCTGATATTTCTTCTCGTGAAGATGCAGAGGATGATCTAAAGCTACTACTATCCCCACGTAAAGAGTACTTCTTGTCAACCACTGTGGTTTGACCATCTACACCGTTTTCGGAAGACCCTTGATGGTTGTACGCCTTTTCCAGCCTCTGTTCTGCCAGTGGAGGTGGGCTCTTTTCCCTTACAGGAAGAGTGACTTGTCTTGATGTATCACAACCCTCTAGTGTAGGTGACTTTTTCTCTTCTGCATTACTTATTTCTTGCTCCGTAGCAATGGCCCCCATTGGTGGTTTACTTTCATTGGGAGTCAAAGTCAATTCGACAACAACTTCAGATCTCTCTGAAGGAGGTAGAATGCCATTAGCAATAACACCACCACCATTACCATTACCACCAGCAGTAGAGGGAGAAAATGATGAAGAAGAAAAATTGGTGCCCAGAACTTTCTGTGTTTTCAGAAAACCCACTTCGGAGAGACGAGAAATCCATTTTAACCAGTTACGGAAGAATATTTTCATCAAGTGTAACCGCACATTCTCCCGAAGTTTCATGTATTTTGGAATTGTCTCGCTTGTAGTTAATCGTGCCGTTTTCACGACTTTTGGTGTCACATTTCCCATAAGAATGTAACGCGGTATGGATGACATCTTCTCTGCCAACTCCACTTCTGATATGGGTGGTAAAAGGGAAACACGCGGGGCACAACCTCCTTCTTTATCTTTCTCTTTTTCCACACAAGATGAGATATCCTCCACAGCGCTCACATCTAATGGTAAAGAATTTATCGGTCGTCCCTCAACCATTGGAAGTGTCTCAGCACGCCAATATGAAGGAGGTGTAGGTAACACATCCCCTTCATCTATACTCACGCTAGATGGCGTAACATCTGATTCTTCTGAAAAGGCACTGGAAGAAAAGCTGTATACTGCCTCAACTAAATCTACAGGTGGCATCGTACCTTCTCGTACAACAGCAGAAAGCGGATCCAAAACAACTTCTGCATCTGGCAATGAGATCTTTTGATTTTTCAATTCAACTTCCACGGAATCATGTTGAGATGTGATAGTTCCATTATTATGATCCCTTTCAACGTTCTCTAAAGAAACTTCTTCTTCCCTATTCTCTATTGGAACAGATATACATGGTTTTTCTTCCTCTATAAGAGTTGACAGGTTTTTGCTGCTTTGATAATCCTCCATAGGAATCACCACTGGAGAACTTCCCCTTGCTTTATGAGATGAATTCTCTTGATCAGAGACAGGATGCACAGGGTGACTATCTTGTATCACCACCTGATTAGATGCTTTTTTTTGTTGTTTTAATTCTACTATGGATACTGAGATTTTATTAGATAACTCCTTATCATTCTCTTTCTTCCCTACATCACTCTTCGCCTTCATGTTCTTAGATTCTCTTGACCGCGTCAAAATATTATGAAACTCTGGAACAGGAGGAACATCGCGTCTCTGCAGATGATCGCCGTTTCGATTCAAATTTCTGTCTACAGTACTGAGTGATGCTCTTATTACCCGCTCCGTTCGCACAAACTGACGTGGCGATTCTACTGAAACAGAAGCTGGAGTCAGTCCATCAAGTTTTCTCAATGCGTGGGCTGCACGGAGGTCTGCAGCCTTTGTCCCTCTAGGTGAAATAGGAGTGTCAGTTAACTTTGTGCGATAATTAGAATGCCCGAGAGCGGTATCGGTTCTTGCGGAGCGTTGCGAAGAGAAACCAGAGGTCGCGGGGAATGAATATTTAACTAACTGACTTCCCAAGGTCTTTCGATGAGAATCTAAAAACAAACGGTTCGTTTCTCGAGGTGAAACAGAAGGTTTGTTTTCAGGTTCTTCCCGGGCGTTGAAGTCACGACGAAGAATTGCTGAACGTGTGAGTCGTGGGGAAGGAATAGGAGCATCATTGCGGTGAAGTGATAGTGTATCTTTACGGGTGCTGAGACCACCTTTCTTGATGCCTGTCCCCGTAGTTGCAGAAGACGGCGGATGACGGGGGGATTCTTTTGATGACATTCGTGGGGAAATGACACCACCGTGCCGTTCCAAAGCAGAACTTGAGGCACCACGCCGAAGAGGCTTCACATTTGGTACGGACGGCGACTCACTTTTTTTCTCTGTTAATTTGTCACGTTGATTTGGTTTCCTAGTTCTAGAGCATGACTTTTTCTTTTCATGTGATGCTCTCTGAGGAGATTTATCCCCGTTTTCTAATGTTTGTATTTCAGTATTTATAGTCAGAGATGTAGCTGTAGTTGGCAGTTTTGGGTGGTTTTCTTCTCTCCTGGAAGTCAATGGTCCTCGTGGTGAAGGTATGCGAAAGAATAGAGGGTCCCATCGGTAGTCAACACCCATGTATAGTTGTGGTGGGGGCTCAAACTGATACCGTAGTGGTGTATTTGTCATCACTTCTACCTGTTATCGTTATGTATATATATACACTTCTGGTTAGTGGTTTAATTTGTCTTGTGTCCTCTTTTTTTTTTTTTTACTTTTCTGTATCTATGTACCACCCTCCTCCTTTTTGCTATGACTCTTCCCTTTCTTCACCAAACCCTTTTTTATTCCACTCTCCGTACCTCTTGTTTGCTCAAAAAAATAAATAAATAAATAAATAAATAAATAAATAAATAAAAAAAGAAGTGTAAAACAAAGGAATAAGAAAAAAAAGTGAGTGTACAAACCTAGTATAGAAGGGATGGGGTGCACTATGAAAGATCCAAGAAGAAGAAGAAGAAGAAATAATATATTCATAAATATGATACAGCTATCTCAGTGTGTACGAAACACGTATGAGTTCGCTACTGTCACGTTGCGAATCCATCGAGATGGATTGTACGAGTTGCTGCGCTCTTCCAGACGGAGTAACCTGATATTAAGACCAGTTACACTGTATTGTGGAATTTCAAATTGCATAATTATAGGGCCAATCTCACGACGTATTGCAGCAGTAATGGGTGTAGAGGTGGAAATTCGAATCTTGCACACTTGTTCTGTACCTCCATAAAACTTTGCAATACTCCATATGATAGACTTCTCCACTTCTTTGTAATCATATGTTTGGCCAATGGCACCGACGCCGAGTTCTACCGTTGCGTTAGTGCATGAGAGTGGAGCTGGTACAATGACTTTGACGGCAACTCCCTGTGTTGTTGCTGGGATATCTGCACGTACCCGTAGTGTTATCTCTGCTCGATGTGTAGACAATAGTTCAACAGACTGTACAAGTCGAAAAGGTTGTGTGCACTCAGCACTCAGTCTGTAATTCATAAGAGTGAATTCACCTTCTGGTGGTCTAATTGAAAGTTGACGTTGTGTCTCAAAACTAGAGTAATCAGCATCCTCATGAAAGTTTACGCTATCAAGGACTACAGATGCGTACCGCGTTTTATTTGCATCCCCACGTCCTACAACCAAGTCTTCGTTGAGAGTTAAATACAATATAGGGGATCCAACAAGAAAACTTTTCATAACGATAGAACCTTCCACATCTGAGACTACCACATTACCACTACTGTTAAACACAACGTTTAAACGTTCTACAATGTCCACATAGATTTCATTCTTCCGTTCTCCTGATGTCTGTACAATAGATGATGCAGCAGCATCACTCCGCCGTGTCCTCTCCATCAGCTCACCACGCTTTAAGCGTTCAAAAAATGACTCAATATAATTAGAATCCGGATTTGATACAGGAATAATATCGTTAAATATGTATGGACGTAATCGTTCGGCATTAAGCTCCTGAGGTACTCCCATATCAAGCATTTCATCTAGTAATTCATACACCAGCGTGAAATTTTTGCGAACACTCTCCTCTGAGAGTATACCGAGATAATCCTTTATCACTTTAACAATACGTAATAGAATTTCCAGAGTAAGGCTAGGTGACGAATTTACCATTGATGTACACACAAATAGAAGCTCACGTCGCTTCACGCAACAAAAATTTATTCCCTTTTCGATAAAAAACGGTGGACAGTCGCCTTCTGGTGCTTGATGGTGCGCACCATCCCAAAATTTGTACTTGCGGAAAAAAATTTCATCAGCGTTACGGGGGGCGTCTTGTCTGTAGTCTTTGAAGATGAGTTTGTCACCGCGTGGGGACAAGATAAACACCTGTGAGATGTACATTTTCTACACTGGGATAGAGAAATAAAAGAGGAATAGCCAAAGAAACAGGAAAGAAAAAGAAATAAATAAATAAATAATAATAAAAGCAAATATGCAAGTCGAAAAAAAAGTAAAGAAAAAAAAAGGAAAGAAAGAAAGAAAGAGAGAGAAGGGGAAATAGAGAAAAGCGAACGAAACCTGCATATAGAGGAAAAAAAAAAATAGACAGAGGCGAAACAGGTAATCTTCATCGCCAACTGTAGTGCTATTCAAGATGCTGACAATAATTTTAAACATCATCATCATCATCATCATCACTACTCCTGACCATTATCCTTTGCCTGTATATTTTTATTGATCGGTGCGTTGATATAGCACTGACGCAGGGCAGCTGTCATGCGGTCAATGTCTTTGGTTAATTCACCATTTTTGTCTAGAATCAACTGAAGCTGCTGGTCAGCTCGTTGAACGTCCTCTCGCCACTTTCCAACAAGTCTTCCCACCAGCTCAAGTGTCTGTTCTGCCTCCTCTTTAATCTTGGCCTCAGTCGCCTTGCAAGAGCGCACAACACGACGTCTTGCACTTGATACAGAGTACCATGTTAAGAGGAAAAAAAGTAAACAGAGTGCCGGGATGCTGTGCTCCTCTTTCCATTTATGATGCACAATCTCAGCAGCGTGTGTTTGAATAGCGTTAAAGTCACGTTGCTTCATCGCCCGAAGGATATCAGCAGTAGGAATGCTGTATTCATTATTTTTTCTTACATCTGAAGGAGGAGAAGTTGAGTTGGAATTATTTGTAGGTGACTTGTCTTCGCTGCTGCTCTTGTTGTTATTACTGCTGCTACTGATATTATTATTACTATCAGCACCGCCGCTTTTTGTTGAAGAGCAACGACAAATGCACCACAGCGGTGAGGCGAAGATCTGGGTTCTTTTCCTTAACAGCATCATACGTACTCGTCTCCTTATATCTAGCGGTGTAGTCTTTACCTCCCTGCAAACACAAGAAAAAATCACCAAAACAAAAAGAGTAATATAAACCATATAAAATGTTCATACAATGATGAAACACATATAAGTTATCAAACAAAAAAAAAGTATAGATCAAATAACACACAAAGAAAAACAAATACAAACACAAACTTAGACGCATGCGAACATACATGTACACACACACACAGACACATACATATTATATATATATATATATATATATATATATATATATATATATATATATACACACGCAGACGGACAAAAAAAAAAAAAAACACTTACTCAAAAAGATGAATAAATAATAATAATAATAATAATAATAATAATAATAATAATAATAAACAAGAAAAAAAAAAGAGAGAAAGAATAAGCAAAAATAATAAGATACTAAACTAATCAGATTCATTCTCCACGTAGTATCTGTACCTCTGTTGACTTTACGGCAACTGCCGCGAATGCATAGGAGGTATGCGGTGGTAGCCTCACTACTGCCACGCATTGATCCCCCGATAGTGTCCACTTTACAATGTTTTCTTCGCAGTCCAACTCTACCTTAATTACCGCATTGGGAGCAAATGCGTAACCCGTTTTTTCAGCAACAAGTGCCCCAAAGTTATGCGCTACTCTTCCATCATTCCAACAGAGTGCTAGTCCCTCACATCTACCGATGCTCTCCATACTGCAGAGACATGCGCCCTCTGCCACAACTCCAACTGCTGCTGTATCACAGCGCACCACGCCGAATGTAATAACATGTAGTCCACTCGAATAGAAAGGACTCGCTGCGGCGCATACTACATCTGAGAACAGTCTGTCACTGCACGATAGTGGACGGAATGGACCAGCAGCAGCAACAGGGTAATGAGATTCCCACGACTGCTGCAGACCGTAGAAACGTGCCTCTGCGCAACAGGCTTCATGATAGGCTTCTGGAATAGGATTCTTGTAACCACGCAGCAGGTTTAGCAGCATACCAAAGAGAACAGCATCTCTACACGGGATTTCAATCATATCATTCTCATGGTCTTTGCCACTATTCTGGCGAAAATGCATGGTCGCCATTAAAAAGAGAACCGATTGTGGGTCTTTAAGCAGAACATCACGCTGTACTGAAAATCGTTTACCATCCACACAAAAATTAACAATTTCCGGTACACTCGAATCAAATTCAAGAAGTTCACGTTGGAGACCACGTAACTTATTCGCAACTTTTGTTAGGGACACATCAGAAAACTGAGTCCTTGCAGTATTCTGATGGGTTCTCCTATTCCCAGGTGTGCACGCCGCAGGAGTCTCTTCATCCGAACCTATAAACATAGGTTATTTCCTATCAAACCCTTGTGAAGGCTATGTTCTACTTTTAAACAATACTATTCCTTTCTTTTTTTTTTTTTTGTTCCCTTTATCTCGAAAGGGGGAAAAAAGAAGAAAAAAAAAAGGAAGAAGCGAAGAGAACTGTTAGAAAACAAAAAAAGTGTACAAAGAAAAAATAAAAGTAAAAATAAAAAACACGTCCAGAACAAATGGTATTGAATGTCTTCAACCTGTACGACACCATATTCAAGTATGAACCCAATTATATTAAATAGAATTATCGCGAACAATTGGAAATCCAGTGTGGTACTCTTCAGGAGATGTAAATTTCCGAACGCAAATAGACATTGGTGCCGTCAAAAAATCCGGTAACTGCAACACCGTCTCCGTGGACTTATCATTATCACTCGGCAGTTCCTCCTCGTTTGGCCGTAGAGGTGGTAATGAAATCTCTCGGTAATCCTTACTATCATCACTATTGTTGTTAAGAGCAAAAACATCATTTTCTGACGATCTCTTGTTGTTAACAATAACGGCCAGTGCTGTTCGTGAGACAGCAGAATTGGCAACTCGTGTAAGGAAAAAGTCTTTTAGCATCGTGGCATTTACCTCTTCAAGAGCTTTAATCTCTTCCTCCTTGTAGTCAAGACCAGTAGGATGTAGGTAACGCGAAGAAAGATCATTGCAGTCCATACTTACAGAGTCGGGTAACTTTCGACGCACCTCAATAAGACCTTTAATAACTGTATCGACTTTATCATCATTACACAGAGTTAAGAAGTTTGCCTCTACAGCCTCTAGAAAGGCAATGATGCGAGAAAGAAGATAGATAGCGTCCACATTTTTCAGAGCGCTTTGAACCACAAATTGGAGATGAGCTGTACCCCCCATACGTATAGATCTCGAAAAAACGATGTATCCAAGAGCTTCACGTGTACGGAGAGAATTAAAAAAAGTGGACGACATCAAGGAATTCATACAGTCACAGAGAGAACGCAATAATGGGGTTTCATTGCCAACGTAAATATCTAAAAATACCGCAGTATTTGGATTCTCTACATCAAACGGAGGATAACTTAATACATCCAGCAAAGGGGTATGATGTGATGATGAGTTTCGTGTAAAGGCATATACGTCTCGAAATCGTGGAATACTCTCCTTCTTCGCAGGTGGAACTTGAAGCTTTTCTAGTATCTTCTCAACACCATTAACCAAGTGATCTTGCATATAAGGTGCAGAAGGCACATTACCGGCGACGAAGCACTCAAAGTAGACACCACTCGCCAGGTAATCTTTTACAAATTCTTTATATTCACTATAGGAGGTTGAGGCAGCTGCATCAAGTAGCTCGTCATATGTATACATAACAACTCTAGCCGCCTTTGAAAATCTATCCATCGCACATGCGTACGGTTGCTGTGATGATTTACTTTCGAGAGATCGGACTGCCTTATCTGCGTAGGAATTATAAGTTTCTAAAGAACCTGAAAGAGTTTCCAATGTAAACATTTTTTCAAATATATCAAAGAAAATGTCAAGAATTCTGTGCTGTGGACCAGTTACGGTGAGTGTTAAACCACCACAGTCTAGTACAATATCATTCTCCAATGCTGCAAGTAAACCAAAATAAGAAACTTCCCCAATAGCATCTTTCAAAATATCTATCATTACACTTGTATAAAATCGTTTTTTAGGGTTCGCATGTATACAAGGTGAAAGGCCTCTCCAGGTTATAGAAGTTGTGAATGATTTGTATCGTCCCGCATCTTTACGCACTAGGGTAACTCCATACATAGTATGGAAGGTTTTAATAACAGCATGACTATTATCGCTATCGTATACTGTGAAATCTGTCGCGAGGAAAGGGTTCACAGGGGGGAGAGATAACGCATTATGGTACGGGCCGTGCATGCTGTGCGTCCAACGCCCAATAACTTCACTTGGAATACGAGAAACAGAAAACTTTGTCTTGTGAAATCGTGTTGTGGAATTACATGCCACACGAGCAAAGTCAGGTAATATCTGTAACAATTCCTCCGCATTTGTATTTTCTTCTTTATCATCATCATCATCATCATCTTCTTCTTGTTCATGGTCGTTCACCTCTTTCTTCCCTTCTTCATCCTCTTCCTCTTCAGATAAAGATGACCTGATTTCTTCATCGGTTACAATTGCATTGTCACATGGCATTTCGCCCCAGCATAGCTCAACAATACAATTTTCAGGTATTAACTGTGCAATACAGGCCTCAGTGGCAGCGATATCATCATCAAGCACTACACTATCACCTATCCAACAGTGTCTTAGATCTCTCTTGTTCGCACCAAGTGCTAGTTCTGCGCAGTGGTCAACGTTACTTTCAACAGAAGAGGACTCAAAGTGAAGCCACATTTCTGCTTTCATCTGGGCATACACAGTACTGTCCACACGTGCGGCCAACCCAATACCCTGATACACCAAATCAATCACATCAATAACGCGTTTGAGTCCATCCATCGTTAGCGATATATTTACCGAAAGCAATTCATTATCATCATCAATACACTGAGGACCAACAAACATTTCGGTGGCTAGATTTTCACTTCTCAGTATACCAAAAACAGATGAGTTGCACTCATGACCAAGAATATGTGAAATATACGTGAGTGGCATGGTCCGCCAGGATGAGGCAGGACATTTCACACACCATAACAATTTCAAAGAACGTATTTTACGAATGGTACGTATATTTATCCAGCTTGACTTTGCTTCAGTTGAGTAGAAAGAATCTCCACTCGGTAAAAAACGAAATTCAGCCGGTTTTCCCACACGCATTCTCGACAATGGACCCTCAATCATGCGAAGTACCAACTCTGGAGGCAGTGCACTATACACTGCCAAGCAAGCGGCTCCTGCAACATAATATGAATTAAAGAATTCCACCAATCGTTTTCGAATATCTATATTTTTTGATAAGGGTTCATCCCATAGGGTTGTAATATTTCCGTTACCATATCGGCTTTTTGGATGCTGGGGATTTACAAAAGAGCGTTCCAATTCATGGACTCTCCAATATTCCACACTGTGGTTTTTCTCATCTTCGCTATGAACCGCTTTTACTTCTCGTGAGAGTGCACTGGAGTTAAAAGTTGGGGCAACAAAAAATTCAAGAAAACGTTCCAACGCACCTTCTAATGCCTCGTGCGCTACTGTAAAGTAGTATATGGTTTCACGATCACTGGTCCAAGCATTGCATCTACCACCATTCTTTTCAATGTACTCATTATACTCACCGTCTCCTGGATACTTGTCCGTACCCATAAATAGCATGTGCTCACAAAAATGCGCAAGACCTGGGAGAATATCTGGATCGTTCAGTTGTCCAACACGGATGTTCATTGCAGCACAAGGAACTGTCGCACTCGGATCTTGAATAATAATGCATTTAACTCCATTCTTTAAAATGTATCCAAAATGTTTAATGTGGAACACAGATGGAGTAATAATCTCCACTGTCTCAGCTTGGAAATTCATACCTTACTTGTAGTATACCCCTTCTTGTACAACAATTAAAAAAAAAAAAAAAAAACCGACAAAAAACACAAAATAGAATGAAAAACAAATAAAAAAAGAAACGAAGGAAAAAAAGAAAAAAAGAAACCATAATTAAGCCTCCATTAGAGGTGCAGAAACACAAGACATCACTGTATTCTACCTTATTAGATTCATTCCAATTGTTTGTTTTTTGTTTCCACCTTTTCTCTTGTTTTCTTATCGATCACTCAAACTAACGTTATCACATCCTTATTGTTCCGTGTGTATTGGAGCTCTGTTCGTCAACTCCTTCGTAGTGGATCTACTTGGGGAGACATATCGTTCGAAAAGGGAATATCTTTGGTAACACGTGTAAAATCAGTATCCTGATTGGCGTGAACAGAATAAAGTGTAGAATCAACTCCTTTTCCGTCTACTTTTGCACCTGACTGCTGCGCCCCATCACCAACACTTTCAGCGGCCCACTCAACAGTTGGTGTTGCCCTGGCGTAAGGAAATACCCAGAGGAGGAAAAAACGCAGAGCCACGAATGCAGTCGTCCACAACACGCATAAACGTAACAATGTCTGTGTTCGACTATCAACGTAGTTCTCCGTTGTGGATCCTGGTTGCTCATAAACGTACATTCCCATTCGCGAATCCCATCCATGGCGGTCGTCTCCTGTTTGGCTCTTGTCAGTTTCTGGTGGCTGCCATTTACCGTCCTTTACAGCCTCGTAAGCTTCATTTACGGCCTGAAACCGTTCCTTATTTCCCTCTCGCCCACCGTCAGGGTGGTAGCGCAGCGCTAAACGGTGATAAGCCTTTTTCACCTCTTCTTTACTGGCGTTGGGGGAGACACCTAATATACGGTAAGGATTGAATGGACCGCGTTGAGCTTCCAGCAGCATGCGGCACGAGCGACGCATCATTACATAGACTTATACAGAAGAAGTGTAAAGAGAGGAGGAAAGCTGTGTGTGTGTGTGTTTTAAAGAAACAGGCAGTTCAAAGGCAAAAGTTTTTTTTTTTTCTTTGCCGTGGGTAAGAAGCATCTGATTCAAAAAAAATATGCATGACGCTTTGAATTTGATGCTTTAAAAAGGAATTACACTGATTTACGTTAGGGTACAAGTTCTTTCCCCATACCGACAAGAGAACCAACGCTTTGCAGAAACAGCTCAAGCAAGTTACCACGAACACCTCCTGCCAAAACAGTCTCTAATAACAGTGTAGTATCACACTGATGCAATCCCCATAGCGCCATCTGTAGCTCTTCACAGAAGGTCATTGAAACAATGGGATGTTCCTTCTCCTCTAGATCAGAACCACCAAAGCAGACTCCTTTCATCCAGGTACACAATTCCTGTGCATCCAAAGGACATTCTGGAAAAAAATGTAACTGTGGCTGACAGTAACACTCATTAAAGGTAATAAAAAAAGTGACAAGAAGTCTTTTATCATCATCATCATCATCATCTCCAACACTACGTAGAAGTGCACTTGTTCCCTCTAACCAAAGAACTCTCCGGCCAAAAGAATCAATCTTGCTCTGGAGACGCCACCCCATCCCACGTTTTGCCAAGGAAAAGGCCATTTCATCAAACTCATCTCGAGTACACGTCAAGGGATTCATATCCGAGTGGTGACTTTTGATGCATTTTTTTTTTTTTAAATAAAAACAAAAGAAAAAATAAATAAATAAATAAATGGACACGACACCCTGTATATAAAATAATTATTCAATACAAATTAAGCAAATAATAAGTGAAGTAGCCACAATACATATATGTGAATTCACATTTTAAATGCCACTAAATGAACCAATTCCAACGACTGCTGCAATTCGTACCGTTTCTGATTTTTCTGACACGCCAACAAGTTCCACAAGAGAAGTTGAGATCTGCTCTACACCATATCAAGAAAACTCTTCAGGGGGTATCTGACTAATAAATATCCCCAAAACCTATGTAGCGTTTCTGCGTGATAAGTCCATAGAAGATTTTGTAAAAACAACAGCCTGTAATACGTATTCCTTTATCATTCCAGAAAAAAAAGCAAACCCAGGTTAAAGTCACATCAGCATATAGCTCCCTAACGTTTGTTTCATGAGATACAAGCATCTGTGGTTAAGATAAAAACTGTTTAATCTTTTTCCCTGCTTCAAAATGCAAAAAAAAAAAATCTTCTAAACTCAAGGAGTTTACGTAATGCACCTTTTGCGGACAGAAAAGGGTGTTGGAGCTCCATACAACCTATAATATAGGAAATAGTGGGAGACACAAAACTGGAAACTTCTATATAGGGGTGTTTAAGAATATTTACCATATTACCAAGAGACAATTTCTCCAGTCAGAGGTTCCTCATCCATTCCTGTTCTCGATAGCAAGGCCGTCATCAAGGCATATATTAGTTCCTCGTCTCCAATAGCAAATGTAATGAGTTCCCCACAGACACATACTGCAGCTGTACGATACATTTCCGAGATATGACCACAGTAAGGTAACATAAAGCGAACCAACTCGTAGAAAAGAGGTGAAGGTAAAGAAGTTTCTAATATAAAACGTCCTTTCGCATCAGCGACCTTTGCGAGATCCATCTCGCTGCTGTCTCCCAATCCGTCACGAAACCAATAACAGACTGCCTCTCTAATAGCGGATAGATAATTCTCCTTTATAACAAAGATCTCCCATCCATAACGATCAAAACGAACCATAGTAACATCATCTACAGTACCGTTAGTGACATGTTCAAACAATTTCCAACTCTGCAGAACGGCATTTTCACCACAAATAAGGTGTCATACGGTAATATGAAGAACAATTGCCATAAGACGCAAGGCTTCTTGTGACCAAAGAGGAGTAAGATCAACTATGAATGTCATTCCACGTACACCAGACTCTAGTAGCATAACTATCTCTCCCTGTGTGGGACATTTTACATGTTATCCTTGTCAGTAATGATATTCGCCATGGCGCACACAACCATGCATCTCTGCTTGAGAGATGTGGAATCCACACTATGGTCAGTAAGCCACATAACACAAGAACTTAAAACAAGAGAATTACCCTTTTTTTTCGACAAATTAAAAATAGCTCCAACAATTTCACGACGAACATCGGCACTGCAATCATCAGCATTGTCCAGGAGAGCATTGAGAGAGAGAGAGAGAGTTATATTGCTGAATCCATTACCCTTGATCACGTCTTGATAAAACGCTTCACAACGTGCAAAAAAATTAAAAAAAAAACATCGAAGAAAAAAAAAAAAAAAAACACAAAGTTATCACTCAATACAGAAAAGTATCCATTTAAAAATAATAAATACGCAATACATGGTGTATATCTCGTAAAAATTTAGTAAAATGAAAGAAATTCATAAAAAAAAAAAGATCCAACTCGTGTACTTTGATGTCGGATTTCCCTTTCTTTCTATGCTATTTGTGAAAGCGCATTTTGCATTTTCACAGAGCATGCAGAAGGTGGAGGGAAAAAAAAACAACTCATTCAACGTAAACATCCTCAACTTGTGGTGAAAAGCTACAGCTCAACTACCAGCAGTCTTTGAAAAAGAGAAAAGGAACAACGAGAAAAAAAAAAAAACAGGCCCCAACCACACACAGAACGGGAATAACTAGTAATATTCCTCAATTAGCCAGCACCTGTATATCTACAAAAACGGGAAAACAGGGAGCAAAGTCAGATACCCATACAAGCATAAAAAGATAAGAAGAAATACACCAACTTTCTTCATTGCATTCCTATACATGATTATAAAATCACACCAGAGTCTCTAGATGGGGAACCGGGCAAAATACTCAAAAGGAATCTATGAGAGTCATTTCTCCTTCACCACATAAATAGATGACGCAAAATATCAATGTATATAACATACACTTTATCGTACACAGTGCAAGATACGGATGCAGAGTGTTTCCCTCCTCTTCAGAGAATTTCAACATGAAAAAATACGAGAGAGAGGAAAAAAAAAACACCATACAACAGTATTTAATCTAAATTCGCGTGGTATCAAGGGATTTCGTTAAAATACTTTGATTAGCTAGTGGTAAGGCTTCTTCGTCTCATGTCCATTAGGAGGTTCCGCATTACTCGGTAACATCGTCTCATCTCTTTAACATAGGGAATGTAAAATAATAATAACAAAAAACATGTCATCTAATATTCCCCATCCATTGTAATCATAATCAACTAGAGGAATGAAAAACCAAAGAATTCCAAAATATCGAAGAAAGAGGACAGGCATATGGGCATAAAATTCCTAACTGAAAAATAAAGAACAACAAGATACCTCAGGAGTGGGTGGTCTATCCGGTTTGAGGCTCGTTGAAGTCAATGACTTCTCTTCTGCAGCCACATTTGCAACTGGTGTAGTAAATGTTCCAGTGAAACGGTGATTCCAGACGTTGGGATCAGCCACGACATTTGCCTCCACAAAAGAACTATTTTTCGAAAAGGGAATTCCCCCAGAGGCCTCAGGTAGATCCAGAGATGGAAGGGTACTGCGTCTCTGCGCAATTCTCTCCTCTACATTGAGAATTTCTGTAATACCTGTCGGTTCTGTCTTCGCTTCACTGACGACCGTTTCCATTGTGAAAAAACTGATGACCTAAATAGAAAAAAAAAAATGAGAAACACAGAATAACCTGTGAGGAGAATGAAAGGTTATGAAAATTAAATAAATAAAAAAAAATCAAGTAAACATGAAGTAGAAAACTCAAAGCTGCGAATATATATATATATATAAGATTAAGAATCCAAAAGAAGAACTTCATGGGTACAAAAACACTTTATGCTTCAAAAAACAATACAAAAAGAAAAAAAAAAAGAAAAGAGGTAATGACGATGCTTGGCTAAAATGCAGCCAGATATGTGAAGTAAGCACTCCACAAAAGAAAAACAAACAGGAACGTAAATGTTTTACTACTGCGGTAAACTATATATATATATATGCTAATATTCTCATTAGCAGCATCCCGACTTGGTTTTTGCCTTACTTTTTTCATTTAAGGCAGCTTCTGCCTTTTTACGTGCCTCAGTCTCCTTGTCAGCGAATGACTTAAGTGCAGCAGCCTCCTTTTCAGCATCATTGCGTGCCTTTCTCTCCTTTTCGAGTTCCTCTTGAAGTGCAGTAATCTGCTCATTAAGTCCCTGTCCATCCCCTGAAACTATATTTATGCCTGCAGATTGCGCCCCAGTTCCATCTTTAAGTTCAGTCACTTTTTCTTGTGTCAACTTCACTGTCTCATAGTGATGTAGTTTTTCCACAAGAAGTTCTTTTTCTCGCTCTAGTGAAATAACCTTTTTCCGCTCCGTCTCCAGCTCATCTCGAAAACGTACCTTCTCTACCTCTATTTGCTGTTGAGTAGCCTTGGCCGCAGCCACAGCCTCTCTCAACTCCTTATTATTCTTCGATAACTCATCTACTTTACTATCAAGGGCAAAGTCCTTCTTGTTTTCTCCACCAACGGTGCCACCATTTTGTTTCTTTAATGATTCGGCAAGAGCAATAGCACGTTGCTCCTTCTCTTGGCTTTCCTTCAGTTTTGACTTTACTTCATCTAATTCAGATTGAAGTTTTGTTACACTCGGCAAAGATCCTGGAGGGTATTTTTCCACAACGACTTTGGAGTTAGCGTTACCATCCTTTTTCTCCTCTTTGTTCCCTGTACGGGGTGAGTACTTATCTTCAGCTGACATTTGTTCACGCAGCTCAATCATTTGCCGATCACACTGCGCCTCTAAACGGTTACACCATGCCTTGAGGGATGCGATTTCTCGATTAGAGCTTTCTCGCATCGCATCAAGCTCTTGACGAGTCTTTTCCAACTCTTCCTTATACTGTTTTGCTTCTTTTTTCGCACGTTCAAGTTCTTCATGGGTATAACCATTATTTTTACCTTGATTAGATTGCGCTGCAAGCTCTTCAAATCGCTTTCTCGCCGAAGATTCATTCTGCAACCGCTCCCGTAACCTCTCTGCTTCAACCTTGGCTTGATTTAATTCTTTTCCTTGCTGTTCCATACGATTTTGCATAGAACGTTGCTCTTCCAATACTCCTGCCAATCGTTTTCTCTCAGCCTCTGCAGATTGAAGTTGCTGCTTTAGTTCGGAGACGTCTTGTTCAGCTTTTGTGCGCAACTGACGTTCACTTTCTAGAGCAGCCAGGTTAGCCGCCTGCTGTTTCGCCAACGCTTTGTTTTTTGACACCTCTGCAGCGTTTTTAGAGAGTGTGCTATTCTCTCGCTGAAGTTCTTTGTACTTGGTGTCCATATCTTTATTTTCTTGTTGGGCAGCTTTCAACTTTTCTCGGAGTGATTTCAGCAACTTCTCTTTTTCATTCACGGCAGTACGACTCTTCTCCTCCTCACTCTTCGCCTGTCGCAGCATCTCCTCCAGGTTGGCAACCTTCTTTTGCAATTCCTCCATACGTGCCTCAAGCACCTCGGCCCGGCGCTCCGTTTTCTTCCGCGCGGTGGCCTCCTCGTCGGCCCGCCCGGTCTCGCGCTGCAGAGCCGCTTCGGCGTTCCGCTGCGCGCGTTCCGCGTCGTCCCTCTCGAGGCGGGCGGAGGCGGCGTCGTCTTGGGCGCGGCGGAGGGCGGCGCGGAGGTCCTCCTCCCGTCGGCGGAACTCGTGCGTCATTCGCGTGAGACTGTCGAGCTCCGTGCGGGCCGGGGGCTGGGCCTCTGCTGGCATTGGCGTTTGTTCTGGGGCCTTTCTTTCCGCCGACGCACGGCGTCGCTCCTGAGTCTTCTCGGCAACACGACGCGCCGCCTCTTCGGCCGCCATTCGTTCCCGCTCAACCTCATTCGCCTCACGTTGAAGAAGCTCCAACATCTCTTCTTCTGTTAGGTGTTTAATGCGGTCCGCCCGTTCTAGTGCGCGAAAGTTGACCCAAGCATCATGTTCTTCACGTTCAAGTTTCGAACGAGCACCACGCTCTCGCTCTTCCTGCATGTATCGAACTACACGCTGTTTCCGAAGAAACTCATCAAGTGTCTGTGTTTCATCACGAACGCTAGAACGACAACTCAAACGACCGCTAAAACGCGCAGATGTCTGACTATCTCGCGGTTCATGGAAACTCGAAGCACTACCACGGGAAACGTCTCTACGATTGAAGTACGAGTTTGGTCCCTCATCCACATAGTTAAGAGGAGCGGATCCCCACCCTGAAGCACCTCTATCATTCATAAGCTTATAGAACTGGTCACAGTAGTTCCTTCCGTATATATATATATATATATATATATATATATAGAGAGAGAGAGAGAGAGACGAAAACAAAAAGAAAAGAGGAAAAAAAAAAAACATCAAGAAGATCACATTCCAAACCGATACAAGCTCACCCCAAGAATATGAATTGGGTATCACAAAAGAAAAAAAAAATCTTTGTACCTTGAGAGTCCAACTTTTCTTTTTTGTCATTAATTTATTTCACTTCAACATTTTCGTATCTCATTCCCCTTTGCTACTACTATCAATATAATCCATTTTTACTCTTTTTACAGCGGAGAGAGAGGGAGAGAGAGAGAGAGGAAGTATTTACAAAAAAAAAAAAAAAAAACACCTAGTATTATGGTCAAGATCATTATTATTATTTTTTACTTCTCTATTTCGCAGAGAAACCCAAGCTTCACAAGGCCAGTAAATAATTATTATTACTATTTTTGGATGGAAGGACAACTATCCCTAATCATCCTTGTCTCTTTTACGTCGTCGCGTCATAACGATCTCCCGAAGTTTTTCGTAGCTTTGTTTCTGTTTATCCAATTTTTGCTTCAATTCTTGTACTCTTCTTTCGTACTCTTCCTTCACTTTATTCATTTTTCGCTTTATCTCTTGTTCAAGACCGCTAAGGCTGCGAACCTCCTTACCGTACCGTCTTAATACATAAGGTTTTTCAACAAGCAACTCAAACGCTTTTGTGCATGTGTGCGAAAACAACGCTAAAAAGAGAACAGTGGGGCTACCAGATATTAAAGCAACACCGTAGTACCCTGACATTCCCAAAGATGAATCTGGATTGTTAAGGTAGCGGTAGATACCGTTGTATGTAAGTTTTGATGGAACACTATCGATAAAAAAATCTCCGTAAAAGTATCCAAAATCACCAATAGCTTCATAAATACCAAGACTAACATAAACATTAATACCAAGAAGAAGTATTCCAACCACCATAATAAAAATACGTGATTCTACAGTATCAAAAAAAAACATATCCCATGAAAAATAACGAATAGCACATAAAATATAAGAGATGTTAGTCATAGTAACTCCTGTATTATATAACGTTCTCCAGTTAGAAAAAGCTTCTTGAAGAGTTTTGTAATGATTAGAAAACCATTTATTGTGGCAAACTTCTCTGTGTAACACAAGTCCAAGTATAGCATTAAGAAATAGACGCCAAAATATGTGTTGAGAAGCGTGAAGCCACCATGGAGTAGGAATAATAATGAGAAGCAATGAGTAAAGAATAAGGATTGCCAAAAGAAAGTCTTTGGCTCGAAAAGGGGAAAAACGCCTCAGTAGAATGAGTTCATTACGGTGCAGAAATCCTTCCTCTTCATCATAAAGAATATCATCTCGAAGAATATCATCATTAGTTCGAGATCGCATCACATTGTATGTGCGATCAATATGTGGATTTTCCACAAGTGCGAGAAAAAGCAACTGAGAGAGATGACCAAAAATACTTAAATAAAATAATGTGTAGGATTTCGCCATAAGTGGGACACCGTACATAAAAGCATACCCCACAGTATACATGGGATGTGGAAACATTTGAAAAATCCCATCAAACACTAAATCCTTGTCTAACAAAAAGAAAAAATCACCCCAATACCAGGCGTAGTCACCTATTACACGATGTGCATCCGTTTTGCTCCAAAGTGCAAATACGATAGAGCATAATCCAATGAGAAAGGAAAAGATGTCTCTCGGAGATGCAAGGTCTACTGGTTCACAGTATACAATCGACAAAACAATATACGATACTAGATCATTCGCTAAAATAATATTTACAATAATTCGAAAAAGCATCCAGGCATTAAACTCATCAGGAAATTGTTCAATTTTATATACTGTATCCTCAGATTCAAAAACAATAGACGACTCCAATCCACGTATTAACGCAGGATTCTGTTTGACTATTCGGCGAAAAAATGAGAGAAAACCTCCCTGATTCGACTGTCGGTACAAAATTACACCGAGGCCAACATTGTACATGAGTCGCCATATTACAAACTGGAGGCAAAAAAACCATTTCGGTAGAAACCCTGCAAAGAAAAGCCAGTATGTTAAAGCAGTAGAAATCCATAAAAAAATCCATAGAATAGTTGCAGGACTCCTCCATGATCGTTTTCTTAATAAAGAACTCATAACAGACATAGTCTCTGGAACACAAAAACGAGTTCCATCAGGTAAAATCCCAATAGCTACTGCACTACACTCCCTCTCATCAGAGCCACTACCCTGACTTTCGGCTGACATCAAATAAATGTTTTTATTCTCTACAAATAAGTAAAAGAAATAAAGAAGAAAAGAAAGAAAAAGAAAAAAAGAATTATTGCCATCAATTAAATACCAACAGTTAGGGTAATCAAAGGAAAGAAAAATACAAAATAAAAATAAAAATAAAAAGACGTGGTCTTTTACACAAATTCCAACATTTTTGATGTTTCGATTGCAAATATACTAGGAATCGGGAGTAATTTTGGCAAGTAAGTGATCACCTCCTACCAAATCACCCTCTTTAACGCACAAACTTACCAAACCTTCAGAAGTAGCTTTAACGACGTGTTCCATTTTCATCGCCTCAAGTACAAGTAGTGGTTGACCTTGTTTCACCTTCGTTCCACTACCCACGAGAAGTTTAGTCACTTTTCCTGGCATAGGACTTAGTACACGAGCCGATCCAGCAACTTGTATTGTAATATTTCCAAAATCTTCAGCTAATGGTTGCAGAGACAGAGAGTATAAACCATCTGGTAAAATAAGAGCAACTTCTTTGCTTGTGATAAAAGATGTAAAGTTAAAGCGGAGTTCACCGTCTACCTTTACTGTAAATACCCAAGTACCATCATTCATGGCCTTCTTTTCCTCAAACACAACCCTGCATTGGACGCCGTCAACGTCGCAAATAAAACTATCATCATTAGAAATCATTACCAACACCATTACATTTTTTCCATCAATAGAGAAAAAAACCTTTTCTTCTAGTGAATGATTAAGACGGAATACAGAGGTTGAAGTCCTGTGGGTACTCAAAAATGATATGGCCCCTAATGACAATACATGTTTGCCGATATGTCTTCTTTTAAGTAGATTATCTTTGTTATTTTCAATAAATTTAGTTGTTACACCACCTTCAAGAAAGCAAGGATTTACGCAACAACGCATGAGAAAATCAATATTAGTTTGCACTCCAATAACGTGATAAGAACTCAACGCCTGACGCATTCCCTCGAGGGCTTTTGAACGATTTTCACCCCAAACTGCCAATTTGGCTATCATTGGATCATAGTGAACGAGTACATCATCACCAGATCGAAATCCTGTGTCAAGTCGTACTTTTATCCCTCCATAAAAACCTTGTTTTGGTTCTTTAATATACTCCAATTTCCCGCTAACAGGTAGAAACCCATTTTCTGGCGACTCTGCATACACACGAGTCTCTACACAGACCCCGTGGATTGAAATATCATCCTGGGAAAATCCCAAAGGAAGTCCCTCCGCTGTCTGTAGCTGCAAACGCACAAGATCGAGAGGGGCTCCATTGATTCGACAAATTTCTTCTGTTACAGGATGCTCCACCTGAAGACGTGTATTCATTTCCATGAAAAAAAACTCATCTCGCTCAGTATCAAAAATAAATTCCACGGTACCTGCCCCAACATAACCCACTGCCTTTGCTGCTTTTAAGGAAACTTGACCAATACGATGCCTCATTTCAGATGTAATATGAGGTGCAGGGGCCTCTTCAATTACTTTTTGGTAACGTCTTTGAACACTACAGTCCCTTTCAAAGAAAAAGACACCGTTACCAAACTTATCAAAAAATATTTGACATTCAATATGTCGTGGATGTGTAACATAGCGTTCTAACAAAACACGATCATCCTTGAAAAAATTTATTGACTCACGTTTTGCACTCTCCAGCATAAGATTAAACTCTTCTGCGTTCTTCACAATTTTCATACCTTTCCCACCACCTCCTGAAACAGCTTTTATAAGTATAGGAAATCCAATTTTATTAGCCTCTTCAAAGAGCCGCTCAGGTCTTTGATCTTCACCATAGTAGCCTGGCACAACAGGAACCCCCGCGGCCTCCATTATGCGTTTACTTTCACTCTTGGAACCCATGGAGGCCATAGCCGCAGCTGGAGGTCCAATAAACTCTATACCTGCCTCCACAACGGCAGCAGCAAAGTCAGGGTTTTCAGAGAGAAATCCGTATCCTGGGTGTACAGCATCCACTTGAAGCTTCGTTGCCGCCTCAATTATTCGTTCACCCCGAAGATATGATGAGGACGCTGGTGGTGGTCCCAAAATAAAGGTCTCGTCTGCCTCTTGGACATGTTTGGCATTTGGTTCACCTTCACAGCAAACTGCAACAGTGCGAATGTTCATCTCACGACATGTTCGAAACACGCGACACGCAATCTCACCACGATTAGCCACTAATACCTTTTTGAGTGCTGCACGACTGAAACGGGTTCGCCGAAGCATCAAAAATCCCTCGAGGAATACACTGTATATATAAAAAAAGAAGCAGGAAGGTGATACCACAGAATTAATCATAAGCATGTTCACAGACACACAGAGAGAGAGAGAGAGAATGAGAGGGAAAAGAAATAAGAAAAAGATGTACACAATTCGAAAAAAATAAAAATAAAGGGGAAAGGGGAAGGAGAAAGGAGGGCTCAAAGTTCAGTAATCAAAAAATACCAAAGTAGAAAAAAATATATATATATATATATATATATATATATATACCCATCCCAATTCTACGCACCAACCCTATACATGGAGGTAGATTGACCATACTCCGGAATTGTGGGTTGAGAAGTCAAAAAATGCTCCGCATCTTCTAAATCGCGACGCAATAGAGAAGCTCGTTTCGCCAGTGCATCTTGTTCAATTCCTCTAAGAAGATGAGCAACGTTTCCACGGTGGTACTTCTTACCGTAAAACGCTCGACAAAGCGCTGAGGCTTCCTCAATGAGGCACCGAGAACGATCTCCTCTCCATTCAAATGGATCAACAGGAAGAAGCCCATCTCCCAACACACTCAACTTTACCTTTGACGCTGACTCTTTAATCGCAGGAGTGGTCGCTGGAAGAATAAGCACACGAGAAACCACGTCAAAACTATTATTGAGAATATCTCGAATAACTGGATGAAAAAACATATTCTGAAGGTTTACATTACCCTTTTGAGCTCTCCGGATGGCTTTCCAGACCACTATGTCATCTGTGTACCACATATGAAGTACCACTCCCGATCCCACTACAATGACTACATCACTTGATCCAAATAATTTTTCAACGATTGACTTTTCATAGTGAAAAACACCTGAGTCTTCGTCGAAGAGAACAGCTATACGATTGGGGTCATCTTCTATCAACAACTCTGAAAGTTGCGATCCTTTCACTATGGTAATAATGGCCTCTGCTTCAGTTTCAAGACCATACATCTTTCTCAAACTCCATGCTCCGGTTCCGTCTCCACTCTCAAAAGCATCAAATGCTTCCGTTCCCCAACTTATATCTCCCCCAAAACGCAAGAATTCTGTTCGTAGAATTCTAAGAAGATCACCTTCGCGACAGTGATACGCTGCCTCACCATCAGCACAACCTGGAAAAACTACTCCTTCTTTTATTGTTTCGAGATTAGAATTCACAAAACGCCAACCCTTGGCTTTTTTAAGAACACTTTCCACCTTTCCAACAGTACAACCCAAATCTGCAAGGAGCTTCACAGTTTGGTTGGTACAAACACAGCGTCTTCTATTGTTAACCTCATAACGGGGATCTACACGTTTTTCAATAATTTGTACGCTAGATTCACGCCATCGCATGCCTATTCCCATTGCATATGTCCCCACACTACTACCGATAAGAAGAACCTTGCCCCATGGTTTGACAGCGTACATGCTACCTATTCCCACCCAAAGAGAGCAAGTATGAAGTCAATAAATGTACCATACAAAGAAGAAAAAGAAAAACAAAAGATATTTCGTGCATTTACTCCTCAAATATATATAAAAGAAAAAAAAAAAACATACATATGTAGGAATACATATATCTATATTACAAGAATCACGAAAAAAAAGACATGACAAGTACGGACTATTGTTTTATTTCCTGCACTACAACTAAAGTATACTGTTCATTTACATCTGGTGCAATTAGAATATCCTTCAGGCCAACACTCAAACGGAGAAATGTAAGATTATCCTTCCAATCAATAGTACGAATAGTTGACGCTACAAGGCTCGTAAAACCATTGATCTTAGACGCATATTTCTGAACTTTTCGATCATCAGAGTCAAATCCAGAATACTTCAGTACGCGTCCATCTGCAGGGTTTAAGACAATATACCCAATCACCCCTTCGTGTGATGCAATGCGGAGAAGTATTTTCTCTACAGATTTGGCACGCTCCTCGCGATCCTGCGTCGTTGATGCTGACAAACTCATTAATTCCAATTACACTACCTCTTGTAATTCAATAAAAATAAAAACAAAATAAAAAAGATATTGAGAGAGAAAATAGAATTCAAAAAGAACAATAGTGACTCGGGGATGTTAAATAAAACAAAAAATTAAAGAAACATGGTATTCCGATCCAAGAGTCACACACAGACACACACACAAACACAAAAACAGAAAAAAAAAACCATCTCCTCCAAACACATAGTCATTTTACATACATGAAACGTACATGTTTGAAGAGTCCTTTTTCTTCTTTACATCTCAATTGATCCTCGTTAGCTAACGGTCTTCTTTGAAACAACTGCAAAAGAAGGAAATGTACGTTCTCGGAGGCGGTCAATCTCACGCTTCAGTCGCACCAATTCCTCCTGCTGAGATCGTGCCAACTCCTCTAATTCACTGTTTTCATACAATTCTCTCATTCTTTGACGTAGTCTATCTTCTTCATTGTTGTGCTCACCTAACATGGTCCATACAGCCTTTTTGTCATCAACGATACTTTTGATTTGTTGAACTTCAGTATCCAGAAGTTTATTTTCAACATTTCTATCGTTGATCTGAAGTTTTAACCTCGCTATTACTCTGTTCCGCTCCTCTATCTTTTTGGACATAACTTGTCTAACGTACTCAATTCGTCGATTCAACTTTTCAAGCTCATCCTCACCGGAGGAGGCGACACCAGTATGAATAATATCTTGCATCTGTCTGGTTACCCGTAAGGTGTGTAGCTGTCGAAGTTCCATCTCTAAAGTCCCGACACAGTATTGTAAGCGTTCAGTCTCCCAAGCGCACATTTTCATCGCCTGGCGTTGCTGTGATATTTTAGTCATAAGACGTCGAAGTTCATCAAAGCTCGAAAAAACGAGACTATTGTAATTCAGAATGTCACTTGCCCATCTGAAAGAAAAGGTTACAAAGTCAGCGCCAACCACGGCGTCTTCATCTTGTACCTGTCCTTGTCTCAAAGAATAAAGGTTTTGTACATTAAGAATCCTACGGATTGCATTGTCTCTACAAGCATCTTCAGCAGCCTCTTTCTCTTCGACTTCGTTTTGTACTTTTACCATCTCCGTCTCTACATCTTTTAAAAGTTCAGTAAAAGAGCAAACAGTAGCCGTATTACGGGAAATTACATCCTTAGCTTCCACAATTTTCGAGCAACATTTACAATATAGTTCCCAAAGAGCCTCCGGAAAATGCTCATGTTGACCAACCTGTGGAACCACTGCTAAACCTTCCTCATACTTGCTTCGCCATTTTGTAAAACGCCTATAAAGTCTGTCGCCAAATTCAGTGTCATTAAATGGAGGGGAATTGTGCATCTCTGTCGCAAGCGTCTTTTCATCCTCTATAGACTTTTGTAAGTTTAACTCTTCAATTGAAAGTAACTTTTTCTTATATGCCTCAAGACTCTGTAGTTGTTTTAGGCGACCTTCAAGCTCTGTTTTTTCTTTTATTACCGCCAATAGTTCATTACAAATTGTTGGTTCAAGAAGAAGTCTTTGCAGTGCATTCACTTGATGTGATTCCAATTCATCTACTAATTGGGCCGCATCCATTCGTCGTTTTCCTAACGAGGAAATCTCTTCATTTATCCTATTTGCACCATCTACGTTGGCTTTCATTAGGTCTTTCATTTCCTTGCGCAAGGCCTCTTTTCGTTCATTTACATTCGCCGTTTGTTCAGCAAGCTCCTTTTCATATTCTTCATATATCTTTATTTGTTCATCCGTTCTCTCATCAGGTGGTACATACTGCTCTAAGGACTCATCAGCAAAAGCAGGCAGTGGAACTTTAACTGCGATTACTTCAATATCTTTTTCCAGACCATCCATCCAGGTTTTCAACGCAGCTTCATCTGAAGAAGAAATAGCGTATGCCGAGTTATCTTCTTTCTTAGCCAGTTTAAGCAACTCGGGGTCTATTTCGGAATCAAAAACCTCAAATACACTTGAAGGATCTTCCTCCTTGTCAAAATAGGGTGTAAAAAGCAGATCATCAGATATTGGCTCTCCAAGTTGTCGCATAATACGTTTACAACGATCATTTCTTTCTTGAATACGAGTTAATTCACTATTCTTTTTCTCTTTTAAATTATCAAAGATAACGTTAAATGTTTCCTTAACTTTGGAGATTCTTCCATTAAGCAAGATCATTTGAATAGTTGCACGTGAGTTTGTATATACGTCGATGGGATCGTAAAGTAATTCTGTAGTATCATCGTTGAGATCTGTCTCAAGTTGTGTCATTTGAGGTTTACTTTCAGGGTGTTTAACCTGGGATGAAAATGTAAAGTAGTCACCTGCTTTGATTTGAAGCATTCTTAAAAATTTTACCTTTTTCAACAGTCCCACCGCCTCAGGGTTGGTTTTGCGACGATGAAAGTTGTGAACTTCTAGTATAGGTTTGTTCAAGGTAACAATTTTTGTCCGTTGAATCTCCATCGTATCCCAGCATTCGCGTCGAATCTTATACTGTGTAAATTCATTATGTAATAAATGATAATAATCATCCTCTTTAGCCTGCTGAATTGCTAAATCACACTCTGCAATAAAAGATTCTCTCTGATCAGGTAAAAGAAATTCTTCAATATTCACAGCAGAAGTTTTCTCAACCAGTAACTTGTTAATATCCGTTCTCAATTCAGTCAATGAAGATAATATTTTGCGTTTTGACTCTTCTGCCATCACAGCATCATCCCTTGGTATAGTCTTCACTTCCTTTGGAGGACTTGGAGGTCTTTCTTCGTGCCACTCTGGTTCCGTCCAAGAATAGTTAATAGTTCCACTTTGAGGAATTAGATGCACCACAGTATCCTCACCGGCACAAACAAAACCTTCCTCTTCATTCCATACAGATATAGAAACTATCCCTCTTTTACCAAAAGGTCGCAAAAGAATTTCTTGTAATGGTCTCCTTTTTTCCTTTGATGGGGGTATAGGTGTAAGCTTTGATTGATAATGTGAAACGTCTCTTATAACTACTTTACCATCACTACCACCTGATATTACAGCTGTATTTCCAAACCGTTCAATAGTAGTACCACCACTTTCATGATCACGCATCAAAAATAAAGGACGTAAAGACTTTACTTCTCTCTCTCGACGACGTTCTAAAACATATAGCTTCGTTTCTTTGTCTAATGAGTGAACTAAAATGTTCACCACCTCTTCATCAAAGTAAAGTGGAAGTATATCACGAACAGGGTAATCAAGTCTCCAAATTGTCTCTACAAGTAATGTAGAAGGTTGTAGATCATTACCGTCAAAGCATCGAACAAGCTGCACCTCTCCATTCACGCAAGCGGCCAGTACCGATCGATCATTCCCTAGGATCCAGCGAAGGTTTGTCACCTTACTGGTAAAGGTATCCACAGAACTTTGAAAGTAAAGAAGATCATTTTTCACAGTAAGAAGATGAATTGTATTACCATCGGTTACAACCAATGATGAGTCTCCATCGGATGCACAAAGAGAAAGAGGTATAGAACCGAGTTTTATATGGGAAGAAAGTTTGAACTCAGGTTTCGAAGTAAAACAACGAACACATCCACTGTGAAATACTACAACCACTGAAGACTGCAATGCACAAGCATCTTCAGCTCTGTCATTGAAATCAGTAACAAATCGTGTTACAGTATTGGTATCTGCTTCATATCTTGCCAAGGTACCATCAGCGCAGACCATCACAACCAAGTTTTCAAGGGTCATGATTTTCACAGTGTCACCGGTGTTACGAGCCCGAATGAGAGTAGAAGATGATGTCCTCAAATCTAACTTTCTTACATCAGCTTTACTAACAACCAGCGTATCGAATCCATTCTCAGATAGCGACATTCTCTCAATGAAATGGTTAACCTGTAAAAGTAGTTGTAACTCCTTCGTATTCGTGTTGTATCCAAAGACTGAACCTTCTTCAGTCCCTAGTAATAGAAGCATGGGTGTACCAAGTATGGAGGTTACCGAAGCAGTTGTTGGACAAGTCAAATAATCTTGCATTTCCATCTTTAGTTCATCAAAAATAACAAGAGATCCCCCTTTTGTCCCACATACCACACCAGAAGGTGTCCATGAAAAGGAACAAAATTCATGCTGCTGTGAAGCAAGTGTTATGATACTGGGTAAAGTAGTTGTTAAAGAGAGTTGGCTAGCAATAGCAACCCCTTGTGGCTCCAAGACAGCAATACAGTCTGTTCGCTGAGGTGGAAATACCATTTGTTTCCAAAACTTATCATCTAGTGAAACAGAAGCAGCCTTTTCAAGAGAACGTCCACGTTGAACAAAAAAGAGATTAACAATACAAGAAGGCATAGATGTCAGTATAGCTAACATTTGACCATTTGGTGAAAAACACATATCCTGGACATCCACTTTGGCAATATTGTCAATTTTTTGCACGCGATTATACTCTGGGTATCGAAACACGAGTAGAGTTACATTTAACCTAACCTCTGTTACGCATAACAAGCGTGAAGAATGCGAATAGGCTAGTTTACCGACAGGATATCGACCATCACCTGGAACCCATTGAATTGAATCAGCTCCTCTTCTGGCAACGACACCACTTCCAGCACCACAAAGAATGCTATTACTTGCTGAACATACGGCAGAAGGTGAGTTGAACCCCAGTATTAAAGCATTTGTAGTCATGGGATCTATACTACAAAAAAAAAAAAAAAATGAAACGACACACAGAAAAGAAAAGGAAGAAAAGAAGAAGAAAAAAAAGAAAAGAAAGCTTGCCCACTGACTACATCAAAGACATATGTATACACACACAAGCACAAAAACCAATTGAGAGACAGAGAGATACACACACACAGAGAGAGAGAGAGAGAGAAAGTGAAAGATAGACAGATAGATAGATAGATAGATAGATAGATAGATTTCATTGGTGAATACCGTCAACTCCACGTATATCCCGCCCACGCAACTCACCGTAGCCAATCTCAGAAAAAAGAAAAAAAGAAAGAAAAGAAAAATTTCAAGATATTCCAAGTCCCCGCTGTATTGCGTGAATCCACATTTCCATGTTTTCCTGGGACCCCGCTTGAAACCACATCGACTTGCCGCCGATAGTGTTGAGCGCAAAAACAAACTCTCTTTTAGCAGTGCCGATGGGCACTGGACAAGCACTCTGAACCTGTTCCAGACTCAGTGCTTTTCCTTCTTGGTCTGCTTCATTGTCCGACAAGATAAGATGACCTCGGACAACTTGCAAATACCGTTCTTTCCATACGCGTCCATTTCCACCTCCCAATTTCTTCACATAACCTCTGAAGGTGACATCAAAGTTGATTTGTCCTACCAATCCCCCACTAGGTTCAGGTGGGGACTCTGAGGAAAGAATATCTGTTACGTGACTTATAAGGGCATCTTTTACAGGCCCTGCAATACGCACATTTTTCTTCACAGTTTGCATAAAGACTTTTAAACCATCTCTCACATAAGGCATATGAAAAATTTCTCGAACACCAGGTCGTTGGTTTGGATCAACAACAAGGATACTTCGCACAAGACTTCTGAATCCGGTGGAATACTTCTCCGGTAGAGGAGCAAAATCGCCTGCCAAAACTTTTGCCATTAAACCTTTCATATTTGTCGCCGTAAAGGGACGCTTTAAAGCCATAATTTCATATAATAAAACACCCAATGACCATATATCTGCTTTTTTGCTGTATCTTTGATTATTCCATAGCTCAGGTGCCAAGTAGTAGGGTGTCCCACAGAAAGTATTTGCAACCACACCTGAAACTGTATCATCATACTGATGACTAAAACCAAAATCGCCCAGTTTTATTAACCCTGTAGAAGTCAAAAGAATATTAGCTCCTTTGATATCGCGGTGCAGCATTTTGTGGCTGTGGATGTGATCAAGAGCAAGGGTTAACTGTAAAAATAAAAATAAAGCTTCATGTTCTTGGAAGTAACGAAAACCATCGGTTGCACGAGACTTTATCTGTCGATCAAGATCTCCAGAATCAGCAAACTCCATGACAATAAGAAGTTGACCATTTTCCTCATGATCTTCAATATATTTAATAATGTTGGGATGATTGCAGTTCGCCAGACACTTTATTTCACTGTGAGCATACTGCTTGTCACGGGAGGACATTTTCCCCAGGTTCATTGCTTTAGCCACAAATATAGAATGATCTTCCACGCGTTCAACGAGCCACGCTTCACCATAAGAGCCAGTACCTATGAGTTTTTTCTTTACGTACTTGCATTCAGCACTGGCAGGTCCAGCTCCCAATATGGAAGAGAATGACTCCATTGATGCCACTCCTATGAAGAAAACAAAAAATACCAAGGGAAAACACAAGAATGAAAGAAAAGAAGAAAAAGAAAAAGAAAAAAAAAACATCACGAGAAAACTTCATAAAACAGATAAGAAAGCATCAACACATTTTTTTCTCTCTTTTTATGGAATATGAGACCTCCGAAACAAAAAAATGATCTACTCATATTTGTCACAAGAGCAGTAGCGTAGCCTTTTTTCTAGCACAAGATGTCTCTATGAGTACAGAAAAGGAATATAAGGAACAAGATGAAGCAAAACCAATACAACGAAAGAGACACCATAGTCTAGCAGCAACCAGATGTAAAGAACGAGGACGATGCAAAGCAAATACACCTGTTCCGCTACGAAAATGGGTACATGACCACAAATTCCATCTTTTTCAAATGGACGCCACCGCGATTTAAGAGAGGAAAGGGCCAACGCAACCCAAACCCCACGCAGCACACACCGTCCCAAACCACCCCAAAAAAAAACACGGGCCAAGGAACGGCAGCAAACAACGAAGAGAGCAACAAACCACCAACAGCGCGGGAGGATCAAGCGCATGAACGAACCCGAGAAATAAACCTCAGGAACGCCCGGGAGGAGGCGGGCGGGTGGCCAACCCCCCGGCGCAATAAAAGGGGTGGGGGGCCGTGGGCGCGAAAAAGAAGAGGGGAACAACAAGGTGGGAGAATCTGGCGGCGACACCCGCGCCAAGCGTCGACCATTTCGGAAGGAAAACCAAGAAACGGAGGCAACGACGCCTTCGCGCGGGTCATGTTGTTCCTGGTGTGCCTCTTTTTCTTGGGGGCTGGGGCGGGGGCCACGAACGTCAGAACAGGCGTCCTCATGTTCGTGGTCGGCGGTGTTCTTTTCGGAACGGGAAATTGTTTCACCATGCCATTAACCGCATCGCCAAAAATCAAGTTAGCACTAAGCCATTCATGGGGCAGAGAAACCCTCACCGCTTCTTTGAAGAGGGCGTGCGTTTGAATTTGATGGGCGTTCAATTCACTCAACGGCCCCGCAATGCCCCGTCCGCCAATGGAACTTGGGAAATAAGCGCGCCCTTTCCGCGCAGATGAAGCAGAAAGAATGTGACATCAAACTGTCGCCTTCGGGTGGCAGTGCGAAGGAGTGTAAATGAAAACCCTCTAAGAAAAGTGTGAGAAATAAGGTAATGGCTTTATTCATTGCTGGCAACGGTGATGCGTCTGAGAAAGAACTGCCTCTCCAGAAAAAAAAAAAAAACAGGATACAAGGAAATAATGTTTTCTATTTGTGAAGTGGTTTGCCCATGCGGGCTCGCCAACATTGCACTGCCACAGGTTCTGCTAGGGCAGAGTTATTATAATATTGGGGAATCACTGAACGTGAGAAGATGGTGGTTTTGCAACGAAACCCATCGCTAACATTTCGTGCGTCTCTGAAACAATTTGGTTCCAGTACTCAATAGTCAGAGTTGCGGAGTTTGAATATAATGGATTTTGTGCAGAGGGTCGGTGTCCACTCAAGAATTTGGTTGTCTGTTGTTGGTTGTCTCCCTTTGATGCCTTTAAAGAGACGTTAGTGTAAGAAATTCCAATGCTGTGTTAATGTGTTCTGTCATTATTGCATAATTGAGCTACTTGATTGGCAATGTTGTTGTTGTTGTGTCTGTGTGTGTTTGGAGTGGGTGGGGGTTTATTTTTGTTATTGGGTTTACCTCGTTGGTGGTGCACCTTGGGGACATGATGGATATGATTGCAAGGAATATGAGGGAAAAAAAAGAAAAAGAATACCCTTTTCTATTGGTAAGTTGTTACTTGTTATTTTTTTCCTTTTCTACTTTTGGGGTTTTTGGAGACCTGGGAGAAGGTATTGCAGTGTGTATATTATACCAATATATTCCTCTTGCTGTACAGGGTTGGATTGCTGACTCGAGAGGGTTATAACTTGACAAGATGGGTCCTCCTGCCAGAGGATCTTTTCAGGGTTTTTTTTTTCTGGTTAACTATGGCTGTGGTTTTGTTACCTTCTAGCTGCTGCTCTACGATGGTGTAACTCCTTCGGTGTAGTTTGTATTTTTCACTTGGGTTGTGTTTTTTTGCACACAGGGTATGATGCAAAATAAAGTTTATGTTGATGTTTTTGTGAATAGTCAGTGTTGTTGTTTTTTTTTGCTTTATTGCACACTGATGATGATGATGATGATGAAAGAAGTAGTATTGATGCAATGCAGAGACGAAAGAGTGTGTTGTCTGTTGTACTGTCGCCTCTCTTGCGGTGGTTTTCTCAAGCGCCTGAAGGGGAAAGGGGGAGAGATGGTGGACCCACCAGGAGACCCTTTGTTGGTGTTGACATTTTTCTGCATGATGGGAGGGAAAATTATCAAAATACAACAGATATTCTCACTCTGCATGGCGGGAAAGTGTGGCAAACTATTCTGCTACTTGCCACTCCCCAAGGGGGATCTCTCTTGAAACAAGGGGAAAACTAATAAAAATATTTTCTGTTTCTCTCTTTGTTTTTTCTTGCGCTTTATAGGCCCAGAAAAGAAGAAGGCAAATCACGTTAGGTATACTTTTGCTTGGCATGCTTTCGTTGCGCCTTGAATCCTTTGGAATTCCAATGGAAATCGAGAAGAAAAGATGAGGAATTGTTGGGGATTTGGCTCCCCTGCTGGTTTTATTTGTTCTTCCTTTGGTGTTGGATGTTGTTTGGTCTCCTCGCTCTCTTTTTTTTTGGGTGCAATTAATGAACGGGGTGTGTGGCGGATAGCCGTTGTTCTCTCCCCTCGGTGGGATTTCAAAAGGGTGACGCCATGATGATCCCGACATGAATTGTTCAAAGAGGGTGGGGAATGGATCGCATTCTCCTTCACAGTGTCGCTCTTTATTGTTGGGCGTGGTGTGCGGGGTGGTGGCCCGGTGGTTCGGACCCCCGGCAAACAATAGAAAAAAAAGATAAATGGAGAAAACCAAACAATACGAAAAGCATGGGGTTTGAGAATTGGGAGTTGTGAAATAAATGAAAATCAACGCGCAAAAAAACACAAAACGGACACGCACATCGCAATTCCCCTACGACAAACGACCTTCGCAACGACAAGCGTGATGGACAGCGGGCTTTCCCACGAGCGTGGCTCTGGGGAACAAGAGTGTCAGAGGGGAATTGTTTTCTGTTAAGGGTGATGTGGATTTTGAGGGGGAAAATTTGCAGAGGGAAACAATTATTGTAATTTATTTGTTTTATATATAAACTCTGAAAGGACAAGCGGACATGATCGCATTTAGTTTGCCGCAACGCTAATGTCTATCACCTGCTCTCATGTTTTTCCGTATTTCCACACAAACTGGTAGTCTGACTGTTTGCTTCGGTTGTTTCTCGTTTTTGATTCAATCGAGATCGTTCTTTTCGCGCCCTCCCACTACATCCCTGTATATTTTTTTATTTTATTTTTACTTTTCCATCCAGTGAACCGGCATGCGCTGCTGGAGTATCCCGAAACCGTGGATGCAGTCTTTACCGCGTTGTCTTCCGGCCTCCGATCATGAGACTGTCCTTCACCTCATGCGAATGAGCTGAAACAGCAGCAGTATTCTTCCAATGCCTTTTTTGTATTCATTTTTCTTGTTTGTTATTACTTTGGCTTTGCGTTTTTT